AATAGGAGGTGCACATCTACATGTTATAGCAGTCCTATACACAAAATTTCAACGTTCTGAGGCGGCTCGTTTTTGAGTTATGCGAAATACATACCTACAAACGTACCTATGCACAGACGCTATGAAAAATTCTCTTTAGAATTCATTTTAAATCAGTTTTATTTTTTTGGGGGGGTGGGAAAGAGTCCTTTATTCTGTCTTTACATACAGATGTCATGCACAAACATCGTTAAATTGCATTCGCTAGCAGTCACAATGGATATTTTCGTTAAAATATGATACCTGAATTTTTCGCAATTATATAATAATTCCTTTTTACTTCGTACAAGGAAGTAAAAAAAAAAGGGGGGGTAGTTGTCCAGAGGTCAGGATATTAAATCATTCTGGATACTGGATGTCTGGATTTCAGACATAGTACTGTAGTAATTAACTCTGCTAACCACAATGCAGGAATGCACATCAGAGATAATTTAGTGATCTAAACATTATAAGCTAAAATGAAGTGAAGTGAAAATGTTTCCTTTGGAACATAAAATTTATGGAATAAATGATAAATTATTTCATTTTTATTACATTATATAAAATGACTGTAAATTATATTATGGTTTTCAAAATCTTCAGGGAAAAATATCTTACAGTCAGACCAATATGATATGTTGCCTTGTACTTTTACCGTATGTTGACAAGATAATTAAATGTACCCTATCCAAACTGATTAAAATTTAATTCAACTAAAACCTAGAAAAATGCAGAAATATATATCAAAAGTCATACCTCTGATTTCCATCACAGAAGCTTCTTGAAGAAGGTCTAGTTCAATATCTGGAATTGGAGGTTCTTTCATCATTTCAATTTTTTCTTTGTAACGACTGTTAAGCTCTTGCAGAAGAATTAATTGCTTTGATAAAAACACAGCATCCTTTTCAAGATTCTGACACTGAACCATTTCATTGTGACATAGATTTAATTCAACTCTTAAATTAAGCACTTCAGACTGGCACTTTTTATACTCCTTAAGAAAAAATTAAAATTATAACTAAAGATAATAAATGAAAAAAACCTTACATATCTACTGAAAATACACATTTGATTATATATAGTTATATATTTGCTTTTATATAGTTAATGGATGTACCAAAAATAATTTACAAAGCAAATGTTAATCAATTTTATAAAATCTATTATTTTTTAAATAAATTCAGTAAAGAAAACTTTAAGGAAGAAAAAAAGAACAGGCTTTTCTTTGTGTTCATACGACGAAATTTCTTCTTTTAGTCTGAAATATTCTGTGTAATGTGAATGTGAATCCTATTAATTGCAAATATTGCAATAAAAAAAATTAATTTTTTCCTTTCCAGTTCATTTTTACGTGGATGAGGGGGAATTTTGCACCACTTATTAATATGCACTTACATACAGTATTTTGTCAAATTACAGATGTTACAATTTCATACACTTTTTATTACACATAGTATATTAGACTGCAATAAATATTAGAATATATTAAAATTATTAAAAATTAAAACAAACATTTATATTATTAAAATTGTATTTATTGTTTTTCAAATGCTCAGAAGCAAATATACATTTGATTGAACAGAAAATAAATTATAGATCATATGCTTTGCTAAATGACAACACTCTGAGAAATGGGTATTTGTGATGCAAAATGGAAGTAAAAAATCTCATGTTTCTTGCAATTACAATCTTGAATGATATATGCATGGTGGTGTATCATATAATTTATCAGAATGTAATTCGATCATATAAAGGATACATGAAACTTGCCAAAGTTACTCATATTTAAGCATCATCCTAAGAAAGGAACCTCTGCAACCCTAAACACTAAGAAAGAAATTTTAGTACTTTTTCATTAATATGATGCCACTTAACATCAAAACATAAGCACTGGCATGGAATCTAACTAGATGGTGGCAACACTTCAGATACATAAAGTTTCATAAAAGAAAAATTTAAAAATAATATGAAAATTTGAAAAAATGAAATACCACAATTATGTAATGTTTATTGTGTGCAATGCTAAATTTGTGCAGTTCTTGGATCTTTTTTTAAGTGAAAACAGATTGCTGTGTACATCTCCCTATGAACACAGCCCTCTGTATTCTCTGAAATATCCAAGAATTGTACAAATTCAACATCAGGCATAGATTTGGCATTGAGCACATGAAACATTATACAGGGTGTCTTAGGATTATCGGGACAAACTTTAAGGGGAGGTAAAGGATATCATAACGAATTAGACTTGCAGAACAACCCATGGTTGGAAACGTCTTCGTTCGGTGCTATGTGGCATTGTTCACAAGAGCACTGGAAGAAACAGACCTGCGTTGCTGCAGTCATTTGAGCTGCCATCACCACAGAGGAGTACAGAATGTCTTATGAACAACGAGCTGGCAGATATCACCTGATTTAGGGATTGGCAGAAGGAAATGCACGAGCAGCAGAAAGATTGTATCCCACAGAGAGATGCACCAGACCGGGGAATGTTTACTAATCTGCATCACAATTTGTGTAAATATGGATCATTAAGAGGTAATAGTCATAGTGAGGACAGGTCACGAGTGACTCGAACTCCTAGCATGGAAAAAAATGTGTTGGATACCATTCGAAAGAATCCAAGTACCAGCACATGAGCTGTTGCTGCTGCTGTTGGATCTCGGAGTAGTGGTCATCTAGTTTTGCAATGTCAAGGCTTTACACCCATACCTTCTTCAAAGAGTAGCTAGGCATCATGAGCTTGGTGACTAACAACAAGTTCTTCCATTAAATTTTATCTTGCTTCTATCGCGCACTGAGACAATTAGAATTTGTATTGTTTAGTATTTATATTATACTTATGGTATTTGGCACTGCTTAAGCTTATCAAGTCTTATAATAAATTCCATCATATACTTAAGCCTTATTGAGGGCCGGTGCTAGATATCTTACTGCCTGATGCAGTCTCTGTGTGTTCTAAATTCTGCGACTCTATGCGGCCATACGAGCCTTGACGCTGGTTCTGGATTTATGTGAATAAAAAATCAGTTATTCTTCATTCAAAAAGCCCTAAATGTAATCTTTGGGTCAACAAAATCCATTTTTAGCATATGGAAAGAAATTTTTGGTAAATTTTTTCCTCGTTAACATATTTTAGCGCATTTAAATCTGTAATCATCGCCAAGCGTAATGTCAACATAAAAGGTTACTATACTTCTTTATTATTCAATTGCTAACACAAAAAAATTGTTTAGGCATTGCTACATGAGTCATTACTCAAGTTGTCATGTTTTGATGAACATGCGGTGATGAAAGAGTATAATAAATAAGACTCGCCAGGTTGCGTTGATCAAGAGGCCTATGTGGAGGTTCGTTTGATATTTTGCCAAGCAATATGCAGCACGGACCAAATTACTGATTGTACAAATTTATGCTAAATGATTGTCTTCACACAAGTTTTATTTAGTGTCGAAGTGAAATTAACAATCAGAACGAGATATTTTATTATGCATGAAGAGGGGAATCAAATGTGCATGTGTAAATCCTACGAGAAAAACTTTGTTGGTGGTTTTGAGGTTTGGATTTTAGATCATTCCGGATAATGGACGTCTGGATTTCAGACTTTGTACTGTATATCGCATTACAAGTTTAGTGCAACTGTTATTACAAATTACTATATTATTGGTATTACAAGTTTGCTAATTCTGCTGACTAATCTTCTAATTCTGGAGACTGACTAAGATGACCGTTTTAATACGAAAGTACCCATTTGCACCTTTTCATATAATTGGCGCCATATCAATTTGATGAGGTAGGCGTCTAGATTGGTGGCCAGCACTGGTGTAGAGAGGGGGGCAAGGAGGTGTATGATGCCCCAGGCGCCGCTCGCAAAGGGCACCAAATGGTCTCCAAACAAGATTTTCCAGAAAATTTCATTTTTTATTTTGATCGATTTCTGGGAAATGTATTTAAAATTAATAATCATTGTAAGATAATTAATTATTTATTTCCTTGTATTGTCTGATAAAATGTGTAATAAAATGTTTGCAGTTCATCAACCAAATATCTTCGTATACAAAACATTCTTTCTTACCACTTTATTTCTCTTCACTTCTCACCACTTTAGAAGATTCCTGGCTACCGATTCTACTAAGTTGTCTTGTTGAGACATCATATATTGATTGCTACAAAGCATTCCACATGTGTCAATTGTTTTTAATCTCCTACTACAAAAGGAATGCTGCAGGTCACTCCTTATCTAAAACACATAGTTTTCATGTCACATATAATTGCATATTCCAAACTTGTAACATTATAATTTTCCTTTATAATCTCTTCTATTTCCTTTTCTTAAAAAGGTTGTCAATTATATGGTTATTGCATACCGAACCACAATATCCCTTAATTACTTTGAGTAGTGAATGTGACTGCAAGATGTTCTAAAACTTCATTATAGATCTATAGAGAAAATGTTTTTCCAAACCTAAGAGTCACACTTCAAATACCCCTTACTATTTCATTATAAAATCCTAGCTATGAACATTCGTTCAGCAAATTAAAATAAATTTTGACATATTTACAATCAATGATGAGACAAGATCCCCTAAGTCATCTGGCAGTTTTAAATGTGGAAAGAGAAGAATTTGGAAGGATTGACTTTGATGCAGTAATTGATAAATTTACTTCATCCATTGCAAGAAAAATGTATACATAGTAATTAATTGTGTTAATGTATTATAATATTATATTATTATTAATAAATATATCTACTTATCTATAATATAAACTTTTAATTGTTTAAAAATTGTACTTTTTTAAAAACAATTATAAAAATATGTAAAATAAATAACACTTTTTTAACTAATTCTAGATCATCATATGCCTGATTTTTCCACCAACACAGATACATTTCTGAATCCAATATGCTAATGTAGTTAGATAGTGACTATTTTTAATACATTTTAGAGTATTTTATGGCAGATTCAGTGTTTTAATATCATTTGCATTATTTTTTTATTATGAATATATTCTATACATTATATTACTATAAGTGTTTTTTTTGGGGGGATGCAAAAAGGTATTTTGCCCCGGGCGCCAGTTATGCTTGCTACACCACTGGTGGTCAGTGCTATGGCAATGTTTATTTTGCCATTTTGCACATAGCATTTCATCAGCAGTTGAAGCTGTCTATATCCAGCAACTGACATTACATTTATTTATGTAACTGAAACTATAGAACAAAAAAATTTATGGGTTGATGCTCATTGTCATTTTTCTTGCTTCTTCAGAATGATGTCAATGCACAGCTATTCATGATGAGCTATAAATAGGTTACCACATGGCAACTGGCACCCAGTTAACAGAAAAGTACCAGAATTTTGTTTATGAAATTATGGTCCAAATTTGGGTTAATGATTTTTAAAAAAATACATGACGAGCACTGCTCATGATTATAAGAACATACACAAGGGCTATTTGCCTAAGGGAAGACATGCATTTATGGATTACTTACTGACTTGTATTCAAATTACACATGGAAAAAACCTATGGCACAAGTCACAATCATAGAAATTTAAAAAAAAAAAAAAAAAAAAAAAAAAGTGGTGAAAATAAAATTTTAAAAAGAATCTTTTATTGAAATCATATGATAAACCACTTACAGAAAAAATTAGTCCAATAAGATTTTATATTTTGATTTGCAAAAATATGTCATTTATTTTTTTACTAACTCTTGATCTTTCTGGTGAAAATTTAAAATACCATCCATTTGATTGTGGCCCAATACAGAAAAGGCATTAATTTGAAATTGTAAAAGGTTTGGACTGGAAAAATCAAAAATGTTTTCAGGCATTTGTGAATAATTCAAGACTTATTCATATAGTTTAAAGGAATAGGAAGCCTGAAGATATTTAGTCAGAAATGTCAGATGAAAACAATCTATGGTTATAGCTAATATATGATTATTGTAAAAATTACTTCACATAATACCTGGGAATAATTCAAAAAACTGCACTTGAAGCTGGATTGAAATGATCATCAACCCAGAATAGGAATATATATACACACACCCCTTAAATTATTTCTGTAAAAAATCCAATCATATCAACTAATAAATGGTACATCACTACAATAAAGAGAAAATGCCATGAGCTAAGTTGATTGATGTTCCTGGATGTAACAATTTTGTTTATAAACATATCCATCATAAGTTTGTAAACAAAGCTGGCATATCTAGGAAAGAGAAAATCCATATGTATCAGCTCAGCAAACACTTCATGTAAAACATGCCTGTTTGATCTGGGCAGTTTCCAGAAAAAGAATCATAGGACTTAGTTTCATTCAAGATATGATAAATTATTGCAACAGTTTACTGCAATATATATGTCCTGGAAGATACATAAGAAACTTTCAGAACTCCTGCTGTCTTTAAATTCCTTGAAGAATACTTTCAACTCTTATCAGACACATACCAGTAAGGATTAAATAGATTAGCAGAAATCTAACAACATTGGAAGAACTGGAACAAAATACTTGTAATGCACATCTCAGTTTTCATCGATACCTAGCAGCAAATGGCTAAAAATGTAATTGCATGGTTGTGATATGCAATTCTTACAATGTAATCAGTTTGAAAACATATTGTAACTTTCCTTTATTGACAGACATTTATTTAACATCTATTTAACTATTTTATTTAGTTTTATATAACTAACAATTTAAAAATCTACTTTAATGTTTATATACAATGTTCCATACCAATTCCAGGGACACAATTGTCAAAAATATTAACTATTTCTACCACATTATCCAAATTTTATTTACATTAAGTGGCTATTCAATAAACCTAAAATCCCTCCCTTTTATCTGCAGTGATTTCCAAGATACTCAATCTTTAAAGTTAGAGATTCATTTCTGAGACACCCTCAATATGTGGTATACATGCAAATAAAAATACAGTGAGGCAATACAGCATATTTAATTCTTTTTATAACTAGTTGACATTATTGCAATTTATTGAGATTTTACATTTTCTTGAAATCTGCAGAGGGATTTTTCTTACCTCTCTTATTTCATCATTCTCTTGTTTTTGACAAACCAACAAACTCTGAAGTTTTTTATTAGAAAAGAGCAACTGAGAGTTTTCTTGACTTATCTTTCTGCACAAAAATAAATGAAAAAACATTACTTAATGCTCCTAAGAGATAAGGTAATAAACAAAAATTAAAGGTACACACTGCTCAAAAAAAAAAAAAAAAAAAAAAAAAAAAAAAAAAAAGGACATCTTGTGTTCTACTGGGCTGATTGACAAAATTCAAACTGCGTTTTTCATGTCTCGAAAGCGCGACTTAGGATATATATTAGATTTATGTATAGTACTTATTTAACATAGGAATTTTTACACAAAAGTGGGCTTTTTCTGAAATAACATACCAATTTTTTTACATATTTCGATTCTACAACTCAAATTACGCCTAAATATGAAATTTTGTAAAATTTGGAGTGAAATTTATGGAGAAATTCACAAATTTATGTTGGCACTTTTTTTTTCTAAGACTCAAATTATACCAAAATGCCAAGTTTTGTAAAAATCGTACGAGTAGTTTTTAAAATATTAGCTTCCCAATGTTAATTGAATTTGGCAAATATTTATTAATATCTCTTTTTTTTATTAAACCTTTTTGATTTTTCCTTTCACATTTCGAAATTAAGGTTCATTCCAAATAAAATTTACCCATTTTTTGTGTTTTATTTTTTAAATTTCTATTTTTAAATAATTTTTATAAATTTTTCAAAAACAATTTTGAATTATAACCTATAAAATTTTTATCATCATTTTAAAGTAGGTGTATTTCTAAACATATCTTCACAAAATTAGACTTTTTTATACAAAATTTTCTAAGATATACACGAATTTACATATTTTTGCGTTTTGAAATTTGGCATCTTTTTTTGGAGCGATAATAACGCCAAATGTGGTTTATGGATTTTTGTTACAGTGAATTGCCACAGCTATTCTTAACCTTAAATTTCAAATAAAATTTTACAGAGAATTAATTACTATATGAACATTTTTTCCCTCAACGAAGCGTAATAAATATTTATTAATACTATGTGAAAAGCTTATTATTTTTGAAACTATAGATGATATTATTCAAATTTTAACTTTAAATTTTTTAAAAATTTTCTTTTTTCCTTTAAAAAAAAAAATATTTGTAAGAGTAAATTTTTACCTTCGGCGTTTTATCGTCTGATACTTTACTTTAACTTCGTTTAAATCGAATTGTCTAAAACTGAGAACTTTTCGTTTGATGTTTATTTGAATTTTACGAAATCATTTTATGACATTAACTGCATAATTTATTTCTAAACAAGCTGATTGCTTATGAAGTGGCTGAAAGAGCAGCTGATACTATCATCCATATTTTTAAAGCACAGTATATTTTTATAGAAACATAAGATTTAGAATAATCATTTTTATAAAAGTCAAATTATGATATAAACATACAACCCTCTAAACACCGAATTAATATAAGTTCAATGGTTATGTAGAAATGATTTGCAGCTACTTAATGGCTGGATAAGCCATCAGGTTCTGTGGACAAGTAAGAATAATTATATAAACGACACCCAACATTCTGGATTCAATTAACAACGAGGGTACGATGTTTATTAAATGAATTTAAGAAGTTTTTAAACATAAAAAGTCAACTCATTTTTATCCTAAAATGTATTTTTGTGCATAGCGTACTGTCATTATATCCTTAAAATCCTAATTTAGACTGTAATTGTCAAGAACTGAATCCTAATCATCAGTAATATAATAAGTAATTATTACTGTTATTAATAAATCCTTCTTATAAAGTAATTACAAATATTTCAAAAAACTTTGTCTGAATGGGGCCCACCAATGACCGAACGGTAAAGTCACTGAACACTGGTAGTTCGGTCCGAATTTCGAATCCCGCGAACGGGCTGGCTGCATGAGCGTTTTCGTGGTTTTCCACATGTGTAACATGTATACGAGCCAATTCCCTTAGAAAGTTCTCCATGAAGCCATCCATCCCCTTAGGCAGATAGCCCTCCAGGCTTTGCCATAATCACACACACACACACACTTTTTCTGAATGCAAATATTTTTCTATGCAAATATTTCTAATTTATATTAATCAAGAATGCACACGATATTATTTATTTACACTCCAGTTCTTATCGTCAGCTCTAGTAGAAGTTACAAATCAATTATATTTAATTAAGGAATGACCATCTAAGTTTAGAAACAGTGTACCGTAACCAGCAATTCAATTATTGGCGCCTTATCTTTCATGTTACTCCCGATTGGCAAGTTACATGATTTTTAATGAGTATTCGGGTTCTTCTAGTAACTTCACTTGGAAATCGCGCTTAAACTAGGTTAGTTGGTTACTTGAACATAGAAAGAACATGGGAGCTATTTTTTTAAGATGCTTTCATAGAAAACCTTTAAAGAGAACCTAGAGAACTAGCAGCCTGGGTTAGACTTAGAAACAAACAATTAATATTTAACAATCTTTCAAATGCTAGGCAACTGGTGAGGCTCCAATTAAATCTCCAAATTAAAATAATATTTGTAAATATTTAAAATATTATTGTATTCTTAGACACAAAAAGCTGAATTTAAGTTTTGTTAACTCGTTAGTAAACTACCAAGCCATAGTGCAAATCAATATTCAATTTCTTTTGCAATAATTGTATTCACTTAATATTCTTGGAATATGAGCTAAGGAAGAAACATTCTCGGAAGATTAAAGAAGTGTTGAAATCCAGTGCTATTGCGTTTGTCTTACAAGCTCAGGATTACAGCGATTCTGCAATTGCCCAAGTAGTTGACTTGTAAATGACTGTGAATTAAGCAGAAGACTTTTAATCTTACGTTACTCGGTCAGAAAATGTATTCCAAATGTTCTATATTGCATGAGCATCTTTTCATTATTAAATAACCAATCAGAGAACCGCTTATGTTCCGAAAATAAGTATGTGTACTCAATCGTCCTGCATGTTCTTCAAATTTGTCTTCTTGCGATTTATTTTCTTTCCCAAAAACTAAAGTTGCCTCTCAAAGGAAAGTTCTTGACATTGAAGAGACAAAAGGAGTATGACATCTACTTTTAGAGGCATGTGAAAAACAGATGAACAAGCCTTCTCTTCCATTACATGTCGTGCATTCAGACAAAAAGTTGCATCAGCGTAAATTCTATAATCTATTTTTATTACACTCTGTTTACTTTATTAACATACAGTGAATATATACTAAACCTTTTACTTCAGCTTCAGTAATTTCTAAATTTTGACGGAATTGTTGTCAGAACTAGGACTTAGATGATAAGTCAAATTAAATATTTTGATAGCCGAATAAATTCAAGGTTGAAGTTTCAATATTTTATTTTCGGAGGGAGGGGAAATTTTTTTAGTTTTGGTCCATTATCCTAAGTATATTTGCTTGATTCTTTATTTTTTCCATAAAAGCAAAAATTTTACACATGGTATACATATAACGCTTAGCTTCAAATTAAAATTTAATAATATACAGAGTAGTTATAATTAAAGTTCCACATTGAAACGGTCATAAAAGGAAAACTACTGGAGCAAATGTTATCAAATTTGGTAATCGTGTAAAGGAGATCATGAGAATTTATTTTCCACGAAAAAACGAAAGTTCGAAACCTCACCATCAGAGGGGAAATGGCACTGTATGCAATATTGTTAAACGAAATATGGGTCGAAATCTAACTTAGCTTTTTGTTACACGGGTTTAATATGTTGTATACCCCTAAGAAACTTTGAAGTAAGCAAATTACCATTTAAAGGCATTAAATTCGATAAAAGTCAAGTGTGCCATCCGTTTAAGTGAGAAATTCGTCCGTGAAAACCAAGAATTAGCGATTAGAAAATAAGAGATCACAAATCACTCGCACAAGTGCGTACAATCTGGAAATTGTTTTTTTACAGATCGCTAATTTGTAATTTTTGAAGCCTGAATTTGGCCCTAAAACATGAAGATACTGATTCAAAACGCTTTTCATTAATTTGGGCCAAAGAAATCTCTCATATTATCTACCTAGTTCCATTGCATTCTCCTACTGCATTTGATTGCATAGCAGTCATTCCAGACAGCTAGATTTATAACTGATCCCCCCCTTTTTTTTTTTTTTTTTGGAAGTGCAGTCGACAGCTGGACCACTGTGATTGCAGCTCACTTAGAGAAAATGTTTCATGATACATGAACTGCAGTAACTTGGCATTTTAGATAATACGATTTTTATGCAGGGCTGGGCCCCACCTCACGTGTGTCGCACAGTTACTTAGGCAACATTTCACGAATGACACTTCCCCTCTTCCCACCAGACCTCAACCTCTGTGACTTTTGGCTATGGGGTTATCTTAAAAGCATTGTTTATGGTGGTAATCTAAACAATTTGGCAGAAATGAAAAGTGTGATACACCGATATGTCCATAACATTCCTCCTGATATGCTAAGAGCTGCTGTTGAGAATGCAGTAACAGGATTTAACTTGCTTTCGGAAAATGCTGGACGCTACATTGAACATTCTTTGTAACACGTATTGGAAACTATTAAACACATTTTAAACAGATGTTTCTATGTCTTATTTCATTTAACAATATTGCATACAGCGCCATTTTTTTCCTGGTGGTGAGTTAACCCCCCCCCGGGAAAATAAATTCCCATAACCTCCTTTACACGATTCCCAAGTTTGATAATATTTGGTCTGGTAGTTTTCCTTTTATGACCATTTCAAAGTGGAACTTTAATTATAACCACCATGTAAATTAAACTTTAAAAGTTTGACAATTTGGCGTAAGTCCCAGCTTTAAAAATATATATATAAATATAAATTTTTATATTAATCCTCTTAGAAAGAATGTTTTAAGAAGCTAATTTTTCTCTCGTGTTATAGATTGTATAAAAAAAAACATAATCTTTTATATGATTTAGAATGTTTCAGCCGATATGAGAATCGGATCACTCAATGGTACAGAATAAACACTGCTGGACTGTTTTATTTCTTTGTCATTTAGCAAAAATCTTTTAATTAAAATATTTATCCTTTGGACTTCGCTTTAAACTTTATTTACAGTTAAAATGACTAGAAAATGAAAA